AAAATTATTTCATTATTATAGAGCTTTGTAAATAATAAATGGGATTTGTAGTGGAAAAATAAACATAATTAATCTATAAAAACTCTCCTTTCTCTTCCAAAGTGGAGTAACCAGCCTTCCCATAAATCCAGGGCAACCAAACCTCTGTGTTTACTACTGGAAGCTCACCAGCTCTGTGGAAGTTTCTGGAAAGGAATGTTGTGGAATTGGCGACAGATGGAAATAGCTTTCTCTCCTGTCCCCTGGTTCATTGGCTTGAACTAAGTCCAAGTCCAAAGCAAGACAGTGTCTGTGTTAGGTCATCGGCTTCTTTCTCACTTAAGACCTTCCGTAATGACTAAAAACTTGACTTTTTCCTTTTAAGAAATGTGCTGTCTTATTACAAAATGTCTCACAAAATGAAAACGTCTCAGAAAGGAAGCTATGCCAACAATCTCCACCTGGAGGGTTGGGGGAAGACAGGGCAATGCGATGTCTTTCTGCTTGCTTGAGACCAGTGGGAAAGTGTACACAGAAACAATCTAAAAAGGCTGACAATGACTAAGCCTGAAAATAAGGGGTCCCAGAAGGCCCAGTCGCCCCTTCTAGAAAGCTTAATAAGGACATCTTAGCAGAGTTCCTAAGCAGGCACTTGGCAGTTCAGGATTTTGCATTTTGGTCGCTTTCTTTCCTCTCTGGCCTGGGGCAGGGTGAACAAGGTAACTTTGGGAAGAGTTCGCAGCATCACTGCCCTAGGCACTGGTCTCTGATTCCTAGCTAGTCCCTGGGTACATTATGTTTAATATATTTTATATAAATATATTGAGGAATGGAAAACATAAAATCTGAGTGATTTGGGAGAAGTGGGGGACTTGGGGAAAGGCCCAGAGAGCCACAGATCTTGTGCAGGCCAACTTGACCTCTTCTTGACCTCTTTGGCTTCTGGCTTCTCCTCCTCAGCTTTCTTGTCTTCTGTGACTTCTCTCTTCTCTTCTGCATCATGTTCTTTTTCCTCCTCTGTTGTGACTCTTTTGACTTTCTTGAAATTAGAAGAGTTCTTGTGACCATCTTCTCCCTCAGAATTCCCTTTCACTCTTTGCCAGGCCCAGCTGCACTGCAGGGTGTGGCCAGGGACCAGTCCTAGAGAGTGATGCTTGATACACTTGGCTTCCACCTTCCCGTGAACTTCGTTTGTGCCAGATTAGTTTGATTCCCCAGCCTCCTTCTCCCTGTCCTGCTTTAACAGAGGTCAGCAAATAACCAGCCTTTGTTGCTATTTTCTATTAGAACCATTCCATTGAGCTGAAAAAATGGCTCAGGGGTTAAGAGCACTGCCTGCTCTTCCAGAGTTCCTGAGTTCAATTCCCAGCAACCACATGGTGGTTCACAACCATCTGTAATGAGATTGGGTGTCTTCTTCTGGCCTGCAGGGAAACATGCAGATAGAACACTGCATATATAAAACAAATAAATATTTTGTAAAAACTGGGAAGTAGCTCAAGTGACCTGAGTTAAGTTCCCAGCACCCACTGAAAAGCCAGGCATCCATGTAGGATGGCTCACAAATACCTCTAACTATAGCTCTAGGGAGCCTGGTGCCCCCTTCTGGTCTCTGTGATCACCCATATACACACATGGAAGAGAGAGAGAGAGAGAGAGAGAGAGAGAGAGAGAGAGAGAGAGAGAGAGAGAGAGAGAGAGAGAGAGAGAAACTCACCAACACAAACCAAACAAAAAGAACATTTGGTTAAGAAGATCTAAGAATCAACCTTCTTAAAGCACTTTGAAGTTCTCCACTTCAAATTCTCCAAGTTTTTTTTTTTCAGATAAGAAAACTGGCTTTAGGAGAAAGGTGAAAAAGAGGTATTTACCCTGTGATTTTAGCCCCATATTTCCATCTCATATTCATTATAATTGGGTTCAAAATCAGTGCACTAAATGTGAGTTAATATTTGAGCTGTCCACCTACTACTATTTACAGTTTAGTAGTGAACTCAGATTTGAGCAACTTACTGGATTTGATGGTTCAGTGGTTGGTAATTTTCAGCAACACTCACAGCCCCTCAATATAATGCCAATGACGTTCATTGAACTATGAGCTGCTTCTCTCTTTTCCACTGAGCACTGAGTTTCTTGAGGGCAGTAGCCAACTTCTACATCTCATCTATCTTCCCTCCAACTCTCAGTGGAGTTGTGATTATGCTGTGATATATGTCAACTGTTGTCTTGATTGACTGCAGATTAACAATAGGCTAAACTATGAGTTGTTGTATTTACTGCAAATGTATTTCAACTTGCACTCGGACGCTTTAAAGGTTCCCCAGTGGGTCTGCAAGGGTGTCTCTGTCTAGCCTAGGTACTTCATCTCTACTTCATTTTGCACCTATCACCTTTTCCCCCTGCCCTACTGATAGTCTCCTTCTGCCCAACCATTCATGTGCATGGATTTCACTTATGCTCATAACAGTTACGAACTAACTTATTTGTCTACAATACAAGCATCATGAAACCTGCAAAAAATAACACTGAAAATGGAATTATAGTTCTACTTCAAAATAAACACATATATTGCTTTCCCTATCTACTCAAAAGACAATTATATTTGGTCAGTTATTCGTGTATGAAATCAACACTCAAGGGGAACCTGATGTGCTCTTAGTATACTGCTATTACAAAGGTAGAAATGAACCCCAGCCCCTAACGTCAACAGATTCAGTATATATCTTCTTACTCTACCTTAAATAATGAATAGAAAATTTTTTCTCTCTTAAACACAGTATCCCTACATAATACTGGCCATCCTTGAACTTACTGTGTAGCACAGGCTGACCTCAAAAATCACAGAGATCCACCTGCCTCTGACTCTAAGGGTTGGGATTAGAGGCATCCCTCTGCCTCTGGTCAGTGGGTTTAGAGGTGGGTGCCACCACACTGAGCTGCAAATTCTTTAAAGAACAAAAGTTCCTGTCAGTATCCCATATTGCCTCATTTTCATTATAATGCAATTATAACTTAGCAGAACAAAGTATATATGTGTTCAGCACACAGCTACTTACTAAAAGCTTGTATTGCTGGAGTACCATGTAACAATGACATGAAAACACCCAGAGACTGTAGCACTAATTCTTATGGAAAGTGGAAACTGAAAGAAGCAAATAATCCATTCATGTTATTCACCACAGTTATAGGGGTAAAGTTTTCATAAAAACTGAGGAGACAATACAGGGTCACTGCTCTAAGGGACATACAGGGCTAGGTTTTTGCAAACCTGGATCACAATATTTTCATCAAGGAATCCATATATGATCTCACTTTGCAAGTGTTTCTGTTGGAAGGTTTATTACAAATTGTGATACATTTACAAGAGAATGTTGGTTCATTTTAACATTGGCTCCAGTCAACAGTACCTACATGAAGGAATCTCTCCAAAGCATGCAAGTTCTAGGAGGGAGCATCGTAGCTTACTGCAGCTTAGAACACCAGATGGCACTTAGTACTAGTCCTTTGGCCATTCAGAAGAGCAAAAGTCACCAACAAGAAGCAGAGATTCTAAAAAACTTGACACTCAATAGACACAAGGATCATCATATTTACATGCTGAGAACTGAAGCAGAAAGGCAGAGTGCTACGTGGAAAACTGAGTAGTTGGCAATGAAATAAGACTATAGTTGCCATAACTATTTAAGAGAGACTCGCAGAGTGTGCTGAGACAATTTCTAAAAAGAAGCTAGTGCTGGTGACATGATTCAGTGGGTAGCGGAGATTAGCACTAAGCCTGGCAAACCTGTGCTGACTTCTTAGAACCCAACCCATATGATGGGAGAAGAGAATAAACCAACTCCTGCAAGTTATTCTGATCTCCACATATGCAGCACACATACACATGTACACCTGCATACATACATGCACACACATACATACATATGCATACATGCATGCATGCACACATTCATATATACATAATACATATGTACATACGTAAATGTGAAAAGAAGCCAGAAGGGGCTGGAGAGATGGCTCGGTGGTTAAGAGCACTGACTGCTCTTCCAGAGGACCCGGGTTCTGTTCCCAGCACCCACGTGGCAGCTCACACCTGTCTCCAGTTCAGTGGATTTGGTATCCTTACACCAATGCACATAAAATAAAAGTTATATAAAGCATTTTAAAAAAAGAAAAGAAGCCAGAAGCTTAAAAAATAATAAAAAGAAGCTAGAAGCTGAAGAAGAGAATTTTTCAAAAGTTCTGTAAATGTTTGAGATTGGCTTATGGCCGTTTTGGACTCCATGGAGATGGCATGACTAGACAGTGACCAGGAGAGGGAATAGCAGACCTTTCAAGGGTAGAATGAAGCTTTGGTGCCCAAATAGAGTACAGCGGAGAAGACAGTGAACAGGCCCTACTTGCTGAAGCACACTATAGTAATTACAGGCGGAGAGGGATCCCTCAAAAGGCTTGGTCCAGCCATTCCCCCAGCGAGATCGATAGCCATGATTGTAGCCTGGCGCGTCTTGCTGCTGCACTGGCCATGGGATCTGTGTCATGACACTTTCTCAACGCGGCTATTTGTGCCGAGCCTGTCACTAGCTTGGCAGGAGGTAAAAATTACTTGACAGTCTCTCCTGGCTCTCGCCCAGCCTCAACATGCGAGCCAGTGGGCAGCAGAGTGGGTGGGTGGGTTACAGGGCGCAGGGAGTCCTTAAGACCTGCAGCCCTCAGAGAAGGAGAGTGAAGGGCGCAGCGAGGTTCACACAGATCTGGGAACACAGGTGCCGAGGGAGCATGCCCCCATAGCACAGTCCTAGGCCCTCCATCCTCTCTTCCTTTAGTGGGTCACTCTCAACGCGCCTCCTGCACGGCAATGGACTTGCCTCTCCAGTTCATTCAGTCCTCCCTGCCCCCCATTTTCAAAGCTCACGCTGGAATGTAAAACTCTCAGCTAACCACTCGTAGCCTAACCAGAAAGCCCCGTCACCCTCTCATTCTGCTGGTTTCCTATTAAACTGCAGATGTGGACCACTCACCATATGCGGGGCGTTCATTTCAACCCATTTGACTTCTTCAGGCAGGGTGATAACATTTGGGATTTCATTTTTGTTTGTCCTACAAGAGTCTTGAGTCTAGGCCAACAAAGCCCAGGCCCAGGATGAATGTGCTTCAGACCTCACTTTCTGTCAGGAGGCCAAGTGGCCTTGGGAGAGAGGGTGGAGCTGTCTGTGGAGACAGGATTTTCAGTTCTGCCCTTTGCCTCCGGAGCCAGGGCTCTGGCCCACCGCCAGCCTCATGGAGAGAAGATTATGGTGTTTTCTAGGTAATTTTAAAGAGTACAAGCCCAAAGCAAAGTCAGGTGGTTTCGAGTCTGCATTGAATTTTTCATGTTCAGGATTTGTCATGAGCCGGGTTTTCGACAGAGCTATATTTTAAATGATGAAGGGGGTTGGAGGCTTCTGGAGACAGGCATGTTTTGGTTGTTTGCTAATGACCTCTGGTTTTGCTTATGCGGAGTCTTGTTAACAAATTGAAATGTAGCGAAATAAACCATTCTCTTTCTTCCCTGCTTTCTTTCTTCCTTTTTCCCCCTTCTTTCTCTTCTTTTTTAAACAATAGGAACCGTTGCGATACACTGTCAAAACTGAGCTACAGATATTGGTTATTGTAGCATCATTAATACCGTGCAAAGATAAATTAGTCACTTTGGCAATCAAACACATTCTTCAGATCTCCTGTCTGTGCTTTAAGCAGAGCCTTCGCCTGGTGTTTGATAGATCCTATTGTTAAGAGAACTGCAGAAATGTATTCAAAAATTCTTTGAAATTTTTCCAACTTCGAGAACGCATTCAGCAGTAATTAGCCTTCAAGGCGGCTGCTGAGGAGAGCTTGGCAGGGGGTTGCTCTCGAGTCTACAAGTGAACCCCAGGCCCTGTGTGAGAGGGTGTCAGCTTTAGGACGCATGCCAGCTCCGCCCTATGTGCCTACCCTGTCTACCCTCTCACCGGATGCCATGCTACCTACTGAACCTCTTTCCTGGTAGAAAGCGAGGTTGAGGCAGAGGGTGCAGGGAGCGGCAGGACCAAACCTGAATCAACTCTGAACTAAATCAGGCTTAGGTGACCTGGGAGAAGGTTCGATGAGCAAAGTGCTTACTGTGGCCGGCGAGAGTGTGAGTTCAGATCCCCAGCCCCCTGCACTAAACCAGGCTTGGCAGCTCCCATCTGGGAGGCAGGCACAGCAGGATCCCAGGAGCTTGCTGGGCAACCAACCAAGCCAATCAGTGAGTTCCAGGCTCAAAGACAGACCTGTCTCAAAGAGCGATGGAGGAAAGCATCTAATATTGACCTCCACATGTTCAGGCACAGGCATATACACTTACATGTAAGAACATGTATGTACATGCATACACTACACATATAAAACTATAAGCAAAAAAGAGAAAACAACTCTGACCCTAGGTGTCAAATCTGCCATATCCTAGTTAAGGTTAGGCAGATCCGTGGGGTGGTTTATATGGAGACCACAGAATGTCCCTTTCCCTATCATTACCTGATCACATGTCACAAGAGTGTGACAGGCATTATATAAACCAAGCTGAAATTTTTCAAAAGGCTTTGCCGTCTCCAGAACTGGGGGGACATAATTTATATTCATTCCACCCAACTTGTTCCTTTCACCAGAAGGCACAGTAAAGCTAACCATGAAGCCACTGTCACTGGTTGCAAAGGGACGTGTTCAGAAAAGACAGAGGTGGCTGCTCAGAAGCAGAGTGTCCGGGATGGCCAGACATCCTTCCGTGGAGGCAGAATCGTCAGTAGATAAACCCCAGAGGGCATCCATGGATGAGGGGCAAATGGAACCTTGCTCTGCTGCCCCTTTAAGTTATGAGTTCATTAGCTTTTCTGAAGAAAGTATCGTGGACGGAGAGGCTTCAACAGCAGTATCGTATCTCCTCACCGTTTTGATACCAAAGTGCTACGAGAAGGGGCGTCTTCTCGGAGACTCTCTCTGTAACCTACCAACGGCCGTCTTCCCTCTGAGTCTCCAAGTGGTCCTCCTCCAGCACAAGTCTGGGTCCTACACTCTCCTTATAAAGACACTGCTCCCATTGCATTACATTTCCCAAAGCCAATTTTAAACTTAATTGCCTGTTAGAAGGCTGTATCTCCAAAGACAGCAATCACGTTCTACAGTACTGGGAACAGGAATTTAATTTTGAAAGCAATGCAGTTCTTCCCATAGTGAAAACTGAGGCTACTTCAGTATCCTGGTTTACCCTTGTTTGTGGACCAGAAATCAACCCTGACAGCATCGCCGTTTCACAGGACATCTCTTCACCACCCTGGCTCCTAGTACCTGAGTGCTATCTACAGTCTCTCCAAGACTAATGCCCAGGGCCGTAGGACCTTGAGGGGAAGTACAGCTGGTGCAGTGAGGTTGCTGTGGCAGTTGGCTCTGCTGATGGTGAATGGAAAAACCACTTCATCCAGGGGTACCACCTTCACAGCTGTTCTGCCCACGCCCAGCTGTCACGCAGTGCTGATTTGGATCCAGGCTCTGTGCCATTCAGCTTCCTGGTTTCACTGCTCTTCCTGGACAGACACATGGGTCTATCTCAGGAGAGCTGAGTTCATGTCTTTCCCACATGCACACAAATCATTTGAAATGCAAGACTTCCAAAGAAATTATGGGCATATACTGATGTTTTAAGTTTCATCTGTTTTTAATAGGATAGAGCGCATCATATGCTTAATTTCTTTTTCTGTGGTACAAAGACTATTCCTGGCTAGATTTACCACACTGATTTACAGAGTGGCTATGCTTGTTTACATTCCCAGCAGCAATGTGTGAGGGCCCCAGACCTGCGCCACCATTTTTTTGTTTGTTTGTTTGTTTGTTTTGTTTTTTTTCTTCATAGCAGTCATTCCAAATGGATAAGATGGAATCCCGATGTAATTTACATATGTATTTTCCTGGCATTGAACGTTTTTTTATGTGTGTATTGGAGAGTTGTAGTTCCTATGAGAACTCTTTACTCAAATGCCATGCCCGCCTATCAACTGGATGGTTGGGTTTTGGGCTTTCACTTTTGAGTCATTTCCAAATTCCAGGTATCAGTCTCCTGTCAGGTGCACAGCTGGCAGAAGCTCTTGGAAACTCAGTGTGTCAGCACTGGGCACTGTTCATCCCATCCCTTCCTTAACCAACGCTCTTACTCCTCTCGTGTCTGTCTTTAACGCCAGCAGCGAGCCCTGAACCCATAGGTGCGAAGGCTTCATCTTAGTAGGCATCGTCTGGCACTCTGCCCCACTCATTCTTCCAGCCTTGGTTTTGTTCTCCCAGTTTACCTTGACGTAGCCTTCTTTCTCTTAATGACGGCTTTCTTGTCCCTCAATACTTCTTGTAAACGAGTCCCTGTCCTGTCTTAACGCCATCTCTCTATTCCTATTGTCTGCTTAACTCGAGAGTCACTGATAGGCCCAAATGCACCATGTTTAAAATGCCAGCCCCTCGCTCTACTTCATCCATCTTCTACTCAGCTACAGGTACCAACTACGCAGTCATCCTTACTAAAAAAAGATGACATCTTGCACATGGATGTTAGGTATCTTCAGACGTATTTAATACACGGCACATTTGTCAATGCATGCTCAATGAATTAGCAGGTATTGACTGCATCGAGAAGTCTTTATATACCCATGACCACAGTATTTTATCTGTGGGGGTAAATGCTCAGGCCTACTAGCGCTTTCCCAGCTCTCAAGTGGACATCTAACTGGGAATGCCACCCTAACTTATGTGAGCAGGCTTTGCTCCCACCACTTGACTGTCTGCCTTCCCATCTGTCAGTGTCTCTGCGTCTTTCAAAGTAGGCCTCCTCACCTGATCTAGCTAATGCCTGCCTGGACCACATCAGAGGGCAACCTAGAAGCCAGTCTTGGAATTCCACTGGCACCTGACAGAGTCAACACCCGGATGTATACCTGTTCTCTTTCTTTGGCGTAAACAAGACAGGCAGCTGTTCTGCTTTCTGAGGATTCTCAGACAAAGTAACTTCCTTGATGAGTTTTACCTAGGAATGTGTCTTGCAGGACGAACTTGTATCTCTCTTTTCTTCAGACAGTGCGATCTCTGCACATCCTTGTGATTCCGGTGTGTTCCCTTTCATCTTGGTTTTCATGCCGCTTGGATCTGCTTCCATACCGGATTGCAATAACCACTCATCAGGATGGCAGCACAGCTATGCAGTCTTCCTGCCCCTGTTAGAGCTCTCCGCTGAGTGTTTTCTCTTAATTTTGCAAGTTACATAACTTGAAGATACAGCAGATCTTCTTGGAATAAAGTGTAAAAATACATCTCCAAGCACATGATTTCCATTTCAGATTTCCCATTCTCCTGTCTGGATAGTTAGTGCTTATGAACAGAGTCAACATTTGTTGACTCCCATTGGTTGCCTAAGGTAGTAAGCCTGTATTCTGTTCTCAACAGATCACTGATCTCCTACCTGAAATGCATGCTTTGTGGAAGGAAGTTAGAGCATCTACAAATGAGATGAATGCCTTCTAAAATGATGTCATCTTAACAATGTGTGTTTCTGCTACTGTGCTTTTAAATGTCCAAAGTAGCAGAAGGAAAATACACACAATAAAAACTAAAGTTTTAACTTTTACAAGCAAGATGAACAAAATTGAGGTTCCACTTTGGTAAAGGTTTACCAGATAACAGAAAACACTATCCCCACAACTCCAGAAGTCTCTTGGTGCCTTTCTGATAAAGGTGATATCCAGGCTGTGTCTGGTTTACTTGGTTTTTTGTTTCGTTAGTTTGGTTTGGTTTGGTTGTTTTTACCTTATCATCATTTTTATCCCTTCTCCTCTCCTTTCTTAGCAACAGACAATAAACATTACAATTGGCTTTCGATGAAAGTGCCTGTGCTGTCACCAATCCACACATTTGCTGCATCCCTTTTGAAAAGCTCTCCCATGCAGAATACTTTAACTGTGAAGGAAACCACAGAAGTAATCATCAAGCCATGTCCCAGCTCAGCCTGTATGCATAGTTCCTGTCCTTTGCTTCCACAGCCTTCCTCAACACTCATCCACGGACACATGCTTTTGAGCTGCCGAATATTTATGCAGACATGTGTGAC